TTCAAGCTTATCAATAAGAAATTATCACCCACTCAAGAATGATAATTTCTTTTAACTTTATCATCGAATATCAACCCCATTCTTATGTGGCTTGAAGCAACAAAAGCTTTATGACAACACTCTGTGCATTCTTACAATATATTTTTTCCTACTCGATTCTGCACAACTCTTAAATCACATTTATCGGTGTAAATTATCTCGAGAGGAATAGTGTAGCAGAAAATTGATTAACACGATTATTTTTTCACTTTTCAATTTTAACACAATATTCGTATTTGCTATATGAATCAATTCAAGATTCATCAACTTTTAGTGTTAAGATTCATGAGTTCTAACTTATCATGTCATAACTTTGAACATTCCAAAGATTCATGAGTTCTAACTTATCATGTCATAACTTTGAACATTCCAATAAATAATAAACTTATATATATTTCTTATCAAACAAAAGATTTATACAATAATTGTAAAATGACCTTTATTAAGGTCTACTTATGCTAAGAATACATCTTATATCAACATAACATATTTGCTGATAATCATAAACTCATCTAAATCCGATCTCACCCAATCAATAGTCCAGAAATTAGATTTTTATGGATGTCTTGGGCATGAAGAATATCCATGAACTCCCATATTCATTCTTAGCACACCACATCTTACGTTCCTTCAACACTCGAGGTCAAGGGATTCTACAAATACTTCTTTCTATAGTTAAGGTTGTAGGACGATGTTTATAAGTACCTATGGGTCGAGTGGCTCTTGTTATTATCCACTATAAACTTGAATTTTTAATCAAGTATGTACTCAAACCATGACAGAAAGATAGATCCCTCACAAGTCTTATCTTGTCCTCGACAATTCACACTATCTTTAACCCTTATTCAGAAGTTAGTAATATTTACAAAGGTTCCTGGGTTTGTCGCCATTATAACATCCCTTGGATTTCTTGACTTCTTATTTTGGTAAGCCATGAAAAGCATTTTTACGCTTCATACTTGGGCTTGACTCGGCCAAGTTTTCCTCAACCTCTATCTTTCTCCATTTGGCCAATACTTTTGATTTTTGCTTATCTTCTTTAATTCAAAGGCAAACTATCAAATCCCCGAGTTTCATCGTTGCATTTATGAATTAGATAACTCACGAAATCCTTCACAAATGTTGAAACTTATTGATAGTTGACGCTACTTGAAAAGCTTCGTTCACAATTTGTCCATCAACCAACGTATCATGAAGAATGATTTGAATCTCTTGAACTTTATTAACCACCGACTTGATGTCAACCATCAAGTAGTTTATGAATTTTTCGATGAGGAATTTCTTAACCCCAACATCTTTCGTCTTGTACTTCACCTCCAAGAAATTCTATAACTCCTTGGCCGTCTTTATCGCACTATAGACATCATATAGTGTATTGTCTAGTCCATTTAAAATGAAATTTCTACAAAAGAAATCATTATGACGTCAAACATCCCACTCATTATGCCTTCGAGTATCTGTATCTTTCTCAGGAACAACTGGAAGGTCTTCCATGAGGAAATGAGAAAGGTAAAGGGTGGTAAGATAAAATATCATCTTTAATTGCCACCTCTTAAAATAAGAGTTGTTGAATTTCGCTGGTCTCTCCCCTAGGGATGGGGGCCTTCCATTGGGGTGAAGCCGGTGCAGGAGTCGGTTGAGCACTTGAAGAAGACACTTGGTTTCCTTCGATTTTCATCTTAAATACTCAAAAAAAAAATTCTTCTTAAGATTGTTTTAGTTTTGTTTGTGAATATCAGAGAGATGGCTTAAGGATAATGAAGAAAACAAAAGCAAAATCATAGTTGAGACACGCGATAGTTACATTCTCTTTAAGACAAAAGTACCCCGTAAAATACCCATTGTTAGCGGCAAACTCCTCCAAGATACAACGACTTCTGACTTTTATATAGCAGTACTTCAAATATACATGCCTTCAGCGAATAATATTATTGTTTGGAACTCTCAAGACTCAACGAAAATAAAAGAACACAATATGCTTTATGAGCTTTGAAAATCTAGTATATGAGCTCTTAGTTATCAATTGAATTATTGAATGATTCAAGAATGGTTGTGTTTATAGATTTGGAAGACACCTCAAGGAGATTTAAGGTAAAAACGGACGAGTCTGAACGAAAACATACGCAACTAGTCGAGCCGGATGCTCTTAGTAGTCAACAGGTGACCGGGGTTGCACCCTACATAGATGATGAGGAATCGTGTATCTCTCCAACTTGGTTTTGCTTTGAACCCGCACCAACCGCCTTGATTCTTAGCGATAGGTTGCTAATATGCACACCGACACCTTCGTACTTTGCGATAAGATGTGAAAAGCTTAGATTTTGGTTCGTGCCTAACACGGTTTTTGTGATAAAACTCGACATGAATTCTAACATGAGATTTGTCCCCAATTGGGACGATTTTCATATTAATTTAACACATGATAAATAGTGATGAATACATAGGCTTATTTATAGGAGAGTAGCCTATGGGAAATAAAATACTAATCCTATGATGAATCATATTCTAATCCTAAGAAAATAATAAATCTTGAATCCTAAGATTACTAATTAACTAATTAGGCATATGCCCAAAATCCAAATGCTAATTAAACTAGAAAAAGGGAATAATAAATAAATAATCTAATTACATCTTCTAAAATCAACCTAAGTCTTCTAGAAGCCCCCAAGTCTTAGTCGTCAAGTCAGCTCACGTCACTCAAACCATTCTTACATCCCAGTATTTGCTTGTGCGCAAAAACTTGCTGGCCAACCTTGCTTTCCATGGCAAGCCTAGGTTTGCTTGAGTTTGTTGGGTACTGGTCCGCTGCCCAGGGTTCAGGTTTGCCAGGCCCGTGTTCATGCGCGCTCCCAGACGCAGGCGTGCTCCTAGGCCTAAGCCCGTCCGCGTCTCAACCCAGTGCGTGCGTCCACGCCGTGCGTGTGCGCAAAAATCTCAGCCTCATGCGCGTGTGCTTGTCCCATCGCGCCTGTGTTGTATGCACGCGTGCAGCGCGTGCTTTCATCTTGCGCGACATTTCCGCGCGCGTCCCACTGCTGCGCCCGTGTACTCGGGTCTCTGCATAGTCTTCCCAAGTCGTCTCTCGTGCTGGTTGTTGGGTCGACCCACGCGCCATCTCCTGTGCCTGCGTAGTCTCTCTAGGTCTCTGCAAGGCCTACGCGGTCTTGCTGGGTCTCTGCGAGGCCTGGTGCTACCGCGTGGTTCTTGGCCCTGATGACCCGTGCACTGTGTCCAGGACTGAGCATGGGACTCGGAGAATCCGAACCGTTCCGAAAACCGAGCTGAAATCACTCCGAACCGAAAATATTCGTTGACCGTTTGACTTTCTCCAAACCGAACCGAACCGAAAAAATAATTGGTACGATTCTGGAGATTTAATATATCTGTACCAAGAATTGAACCGAACCGTCCCATACCGTACCAAACCGAAGAACCGAAATTAAGAACTGAATTATAAAAATAGATGCGTGTTATTAATATATTTTATGTCAACTTTAATCTTATATAATTTGAGAATTTTTAATGCAAATAAAACATAATAATAACAATTAAGATTCACTTAAATTTCATGTTTAGTAATAGAATGAAAGGTTAAAGATTTAAAAAAAAATATTTAAACTTTCCTTAAAGTTGTCGATACTTGCCTTAGTCTATCTTATAACTAACATGGTATGGAATGTTAAATAAATATTACTTTAATATAAAACTATATTATATTTTGTTTGAATTTTAAATTTTCAATCTTAGTTGAATTTAGTCTTAACTAAAATTTAGACTTACTTCTAAAGTTGATTTAAAAATAAAATATTTAGTATGATGAAGTATTCATGAATGTTGTATTAAAAATAAAAAAATAAAAACTTGGTGGTCATTCAAAAAAAATTTAGAAAATGATAAGAAATCTCTGAATATCCGAACCAAACAAAATCGAACCGAACTGTTATGATTGTCCCAAAAACCGAACCGAACCGAACAGAACCGAACCGAACCAAAAAGTAAAACCGGACCAAACCGATTTTTTGGTACGGTTCTGAAGATCGAATTTTAGTGATCTCCGAACTTCAGTACAGTTCTGGAGATTTATCAATCTCCGAACCGTACCGACCCATGCTCACCCCTAACTGTGTCACACGAGCTCGCACTCGTTTCCTGGGCCTTCTAGGTGCTGTTTTGGGACTTCGCGTGGTCTTCTCAGGTCGTTTCCTTCCTCGACCCTTCTTGTCCATGGGCACCAAAACCTCCATATCCATCAATAGACTGGGGCATCGCGCCGTGGCGGTTGTCGCGGGGTCATAATGTACGAGGACTATGGGTCAAACACATAATGTTTGCAAATCCTACAATCTTTGAGTTAGTTAAACTCAATTATTCTATATATGATACTTTGAATTAATTTATCTTTCAAGTTAAAATGGTTTTGAGATATTTCTAAATCTTCCATTTACGAAAAATAAAACCATGTAATGGATACAAAACTAATTTTTCGTACATGTGATTCAAAAGAAAAATGAGACTTCTTTTTATTTTGATTTTTTTTTTAAATTTTACTGTTATTCTACCAAATTTGCCTTTGTCTAATTTCAAGGTATGAATTTGGAGAAAAAAGCAAANGATAGATTTTTTTTTTTTTTTTTTTAATTTATTTCTTTACAGGTTGCACTGAGTTGGGATGGCAATGGGCCAGGTCGGGCCGGGTACCTGCGGACCCAGACCTGGCCCGCGTTTTTACCCAGTGGACCCGACCTGGCCCGTGACCCGCGACGGGTCCAACAGGTCGGGCCCGTGCCCTGACCCATTTCAGGGCGGGTCGACCTGCCCCGGCTTGTGCCCCGTTTCTGACCCGCCCCGACCCTCCCTGTTGGCCACCTATATTTTTATATCCCTTTTATTTCAACAATTATCACATTAAACATTACACATTGCACAAAAAAAAAATAATAATAATATTAAAATTTTACAAACTTAACAAGCAATCAAGAACAATCTTAAAATTTAAATTATAACAATCCAACAAATAACACAATAATCAAAATGCAAATTTCCGAACATGCCAAACGACCCAAACCACGAAAATTAAAAAAACTACATTGTTTTTTCAACATCAATCATTTCTATAAATTCAACAAAACCCGTCGACGAACAACATCAAACAATCCATAATAGAATCTTCCCAATGCACCTTCATACAAAAATCAAAAAAAAAAATATTATGTCAAACTCATGTTATCATAATTCACACACAATTAATAATGTAAGTAAAAGAGAACGATATGGTACCAAAACCCCATTATCAAATCTCCTCATAATCCGAATCATAAAACACCGTTGCATTTTCCCCAAGTGATACATTTCCTACATTTATACAAAAAGAAAAACAAAAGTAACATATGTAGTCAAAAGAAACTTACGTATCAAAATTTAAATATCAAATTAAATTGATATATAAATAGAAATGCTTACCTTGGTCGCTTACAATCCAATTTTGTGCACACATCAACGCCTCAATAGTCTTATGATAAAGTCTACTACGATGGGGGCTAATCAATCGTCCACTTGTACTAAAAGCGGACTCCGAAGCAACCGTAGAGAGGGAAATTGCTAAAACATCACGAGCAATTTTATGCAAAGTTGGATACTTCGTCGCATTAGACTTCCACCAATTCAAAACATCAAAGTTAGGCGTGCGTGGTAAAACATCATCATCCAAATACGTATCCAACTCCGATTTTGTAGATTTTCTTTTCCGCGTAAAGGCATACAAATCGTATCCACTTAGTGACGGATCATTAGAAAAATTAGGATCAACCAAGCCACTTGTATCACGGCATCCACCACCCTTCCCCTTAGCCTCATATTGACGGAGCAACTCACGATACATATCCAGAATCTCCTCAACCTCATACTCCCCACTAGTACCATAAATTTGTGGAAAATAGTATTCAAGCATGACATACTTATACCTAGGATCAAGCACGGTTGCCACCCCCATGATACCATGCACAACAGACCAATAGTTATTAAATTTAGCCAACATTTTCCTAGCCATTGACTCAACCACATTGATACCACAACCAACTCAAACATTCAAAGCAAGCTTAACTCACAAATTTTTGGGAAATACAAATTTGCAGTGGGGTATTCGGTACCAGAAAACAACTCAGTCGCCTTATAAAATAAGCTCAATCTCCCACAAATTTCCTTTGTTAAGTGCCAATCATTTTCAGTAGGAAAAGAATCATATTTCGAATCGCGAACACTTAAGCGAGCAAACATATCTTTATAATCCAACGCAATTTGTAGCATCAAATAGGTGGGGTTCCAACGAGCTTTAGAATCAAGTGTAAGCTTCTTACCGAGTGTCACGCGAAGCTGACGAGCCGTCTCCTCAAATTTCTTCATTCTTTTGGGAGTTGTATTCCAATAAGCGACACTTTCTCTCACCTTCTCCATTGTATTTCCAATGACCTTCAATCCGTCTTGTATCACCAAGTTCAGGATATGAGCTGCACATCTCATATGCACTAAGTTTCCGCCGCACATCAAGGAGTCTGATGGAAGTTTTGCCGTGATGAGATTCATCATCTTATCGTTGGTGGTACAATTATCCACCGTGATAGTGGATAGTTTACCGTCAAGGTTCCAATCAAGAAGGCATCCAATCAAAGCTTCACATAAAACCTCACTTGTATGTGGGCTCGGCACATAAATGAACCTGTAAGGTAAAAGAAAAATACTAAAAAAAAAAAGAATTTATTTTAGTGACGACATGAAAGAATTTAATATATTAAAACATGTATATAATCTCAAAGAGTGAAATATTAACAAAGAATTCCTAATAGAATATTTATTACAGATACCTGATAATTCAAGATTGCAACTTCCAGTTATTGTCAACATAGTGGGTTGTGATAGCCATAAATCCTCTCTTCTGATGGGAAGATGTCCACATATCTGTTGTGATTGCAACCCGACTCTCATTGAGCTCTTAAACACGCATCACAACTTCCTTCAAATTTTCATAAACCGTGAGACAATCTTTCTTTATCGTATTTCTTGTTACCATTTTATAGCACGGATTCAAACTCTTGACAATGTTTTTGAATCCATCACATTAAGCCATCTTAAGAGGATACTCGTGCTGAATGATCATTTTTTCCATTTCATAACGGGAAATCTCTTGATCAAAATTATAAGGCGACAACGCAAATTTGTCCTTCGAAAAATTAGTTGTCAAGACCCTCTGTCTCATGTCAATAAATTGTCTTGATCGACATCTCTGAAAATGTTTTTTCAAATGACTCGTACCTTGAGTGGGATCACCTAGCATTAATTTCTTACAATGTTTGCACTCAACTTTTAATCTCCCCCCCACTATTTTCGCCTCCTCATACTCATCCCAAATGGGAGCTCGTGTTCTTCCGGCTTTAGTGGTTGTTTCATTTGCGTCATCTAACTCTTTCACAGTAGTCTCGATAGGGCTCATCCCATCTATGGTAGGAGAATTCATCATAGGGGACTCATCGGGGGTAGGAGATTGCATACCGGGGAACCCGACGGCAATGGGGGTAGGAGAGTGCATACCAATGGACCCAACGGGAGCATGAGAGGTCGACGATCCATCTTCCTGTACATGAATTAAAAAAATAAATGATTAGATTAGCTCAAGATAAAAATACTCAGAAATATGAATTTCAAGCTTTTAGCAAAATTAACCCATTCTTCAGTTTTCCCCATTCGGTGTACCAGAAAAATAAAAATAAAAAGATTTTTTTTGTAAGTACATCTGCCTATAAAGCACATCACATGGGAAGAGAGAGAGAGAACTCACCAAATCCTGACATGAAGAGTCATTTAAGGCAGCGGTTGGTGCAGTAGCATGACACATAATGAAATGAATGTTATTAACCTGAGTACATTTATCCTGTTTTTCTTGCCTTAGATATTATTAACCTATAATCTACGTCTAGGCATCATCTGAACAACAACTGCATACCTAATTGCTCGAAAGTCATATGTTGGATCTTTAATAGAATATGCATATAAGGAAGATTAGATAGATATAGAGGCCCGAAAATATAATAAAATAAATATAGATGGCTAGAAACTCATAAAACAATCAAATTAACAGAAAAAAAAAAATTGATCTTCCCCCAGAGAGAGGT